TTCGAGTACACGTACACGTTCTCGAAACGCACACCGTGCGAACTTTCCAGCAGGCTTATCAACACGTTGGTTTTACCACAATTCGAAGGGCCGCAAACGATCGCGCGTATAGTTGTCGGTAGCATCGTACCGTGTTTGCGCACACCTTTGTTCACGCTGCAGCGTACTCTGTCGTCGTAATTCATCACTCGTATCGTCAGAGGTTGTCGCACAAATTGCATTTTCTCACTCCCGATTTGACCTCCAACGTCCGCCTATTTATAGCTGCGCGGACTCGCGCTTTGCTCAGTATCGTCTAGAGATTGCAGCGGATGTCAATCGGCTACTTTACATTCTCAAATAACAGTGACGTCATTCCACCGAGCGAGGCATGTCCAAATTCAATTTTTGTCTTTGATGACGTGGCATGCGACAAGCAAGATACGATAAGAGAGTACTTCTCAATGGGGCGCCACTCGAACATCGACTGCTTCTATCTCTGTCAGACATACGCGAGAATACCGAAACATCTTATACGCGACAACGCGAACCTGCTAATCCTGTTTAAACAGGACGCCACCAATTTGAAGCACGTGTACAACAATCACGTGAATACCGACATGTCGTATGAGGATTTCGGGGAGTTATGTCGTACATGTTGGCAGCAAAAGTATGGATTTCTAGTGATAGACAAGGACAGCTCGCTTACGAACGGGCGATACAGAAAAGGATTTAACGAGTTCGCGATACCGCGGAGCCATTAGTCGTCGACAGCACTCTCTAGAGTTTAGGATGGCTGATAATATTTGCGAGCGTGAAAAGGTTGCCAAGGAGATTGCGAAGACGGCCGAATCGATCCGCAAGAAACATCGCGCTCTGAAGACCGGACAGATCGATGATGATATCGCCGTCAAGACTCACTTTAAACCTATTATCGAGCCGCTACAAAAGATTGTCGACAACGCGACGATTTCGGTGAAAAACAAGCCTAACACCGACGACGACGACGACGACGGTGTGAAGATCGAGACACAGTATGAGGGGGAGACACCGAAAAAGAGAAAACATAAAACTATCAAGCGATATAAAGAGGAGGAGGAATTGAAAAAGAGAAAATATGATATTTCGAAGCCATTGGACGCTTCACTGCCGATAACCTTTACACCGATAAGCGCACAACCTGTGATACCCAAAGCACTCGTAGACGAAAATGTTTTGGAAACCACGCGTAACCTGTCCGAAATACCCCTTCGACACTGGTTAAGATCGCCGGAAGGTCGACAAATGATGCGAAAGAATTTGGGGCCATTAGGACGAGAATACATGGACGCTCTCCTCGGTGCTGATGAGAAGAAAGAAATTGATAATGTATACGGAGTCTACTTCGGCGAGAATGAAATGCGGCTCGGCAGCAAGCGATTCGCGATTGACAAAGATGACAATATAATCGTAGGCGACACGCGGTACATTGGAACGCCCGGATTGTACGAGTTGATCTTCAAGAAAAGACCCGATTACCAGGAGGACGATTTGCAAAAATACAAACACATATTATTGACGACAAACGTGCATAAACGCAATTTTGATGTACAAGGTCGTGTGAAGGGTAGCAAGGGGGACAAGTACAAATATATAATCGCACCGTTGACGCGGGTGGAGAGCCCAAAATCTGGCACTGGAATGCCTCGCGCTATGACGCTAACCGACAATAAGATTGATTACGTGCACTGGGACGACCCCAACGAGCTAGTGGATCGCCTACGATTGCTCGACGCTTCGCGCCAAGCTGGCAACAACGCGCACGACAACGAGATCCTGTCGATCATCGAGAAACTGCGGGAAGCGGGCATTATTATAAATTAAACAAGGGTTCTGACAATCTATTCAGTCCATCGCGTGACACTCTACAAAGCATTGCAAAAATGTCTATCAATAAATTTGGATTATTCGAGAGGAGAATTGATACAACCGGCGATCATTGGCACACATTGATGAGAAGATGTGTGCGTAAAAACGCTCTATGTCGCGTCGCTACAGATTATGACGCGAGATCGCGCAAGATTCGCCGTGTAGCGCAACCTGAGGCGGATACCGATGCCGTCAACAAATTGTACCTGGAAGAGTGCTTTAAAACATTGATGGTCCAACAGAAAGAGTTAGATGAGAAGCTGGCTGCGTTAGAGAAGGATGAGCGTTGGAGACTGCGATAAAAGAGCTTCTGCGTGCGCCAAACACTACCTCAGACACAGGCATCTAATGAGCGGTTGGCTCAGAAACGTCCATCAAACAAACGTCTAGAAGAAGTGGTTACGATCGACGTGCTACCAAACAACAATGAGTGGTATCAGTGACCGACCCGGAAGCAGCAGCTGTGAACGACCCGGAAGCAGCAGTGAACGACCTGGAAACGGTGGTGAACGTGACCGCTACGATCAAGGTTACGATCATGTCAAACAGGGTTGCGAACGAGGCTACGAACAAGTCCTTAAAGGTTACATACAAGGCTATCACCAACTCAGTAAGGGTTGCGAACAGGTCAGGGACGGTTACGATCGATTCAAAAGCGGCTGCAAACGGATCAGAAACGACTGTGAAAAAGGCTGCAAACGAGTCAAAGACGATTTTCGAATGGGTCAAGGACGGGAGTGAACAACGCTATAACGACTACCTAACCCGAAAGAACTTTAAGACAACGTGAACGAACCCCGAAACAACGTGAAACAACCCCGAAATAACGTGAACGAACCCCGAAACAACGTGAAACAACCCCGAAACAATGTGAACAAACCCCGAAAGAACCCCGAAACAACGTGAACGAACGTGAAAGAACGAGAATGAATAGTGAAAATAACAACAAGCAACATAGTTTGGAGGGAAGGCAGTTGGTAAACGAGTTGCACGCGTCAGCGAGAAAAAATTTCCCTCGAAGGCATGTCATAGTGCGAGGATACGATGATCTGTGGCAAGCCGACATTGTCGAGATGCGTCCGTACTCCCGTTTCAACAGAGGTTACCACTACATACTCACCGTCATCGATGTGTTGAGCAAGTATGCGTGGGCTGTACCACTCAAGAGTAAAGGAGGAAGCGAGACAGCTGACGCAATCGCTGAGATAATTCGAGACAGCAAGAGATGTCCGAAAAACATGCAAACCGATAACGGGAAGGAATTTTACAACGCCGATGTGCAACGACTTATGCGAAAACATGACATTAATCACTATTCGACATATTCGGTATTGAAGGCGTCGGTCGTCGAGCGATTCAATCGCACGCTAAAGAACGACATGTGGAAGATGTTTACGCTGAATGGCACTTACAAATGGTTCGACATACTGCCACGCCTCGTATCAGATTACAACGGACGCAAGCATCGAACGATTGGTATGCGACCCGCCGACGTTACCCCCGCGATCGCCGAAAGACTCTTGGTTACCGTGTACAATCGTGTAAAAATCGCGGGCCCGGCAAAGTTCAAAGTAGGTGATCAGGTACGCGTCAGCAAGTACAAACAACTTTTCGAGAAGGGTTACACGCCAAATTGGACAACCGAGGTGTTTAAGATTGTTAAAGTGCAGCGTACTAATCCCGTAACATATCTACTCGAGGATTATCGCAAGACATCTATCGCTGGAGCGTTTTACGAGCACGAGCTGCATCGCGCAAATTGTCCGGATGTGTACCTCGTGGAGAAAATACTGCGCAGGAGGGGTGACGAGGTTTACGTGAAATGGCTGGGATTCGACAGTTCGCACAACTCTTGGATACATAAAAACAATGTTATTTTAATGTATTTTATTCAATCATTGTATAACACTATATTGTATACCATATATATAAAATATATAAAATATATATATATAAAATATATAACAAAAAATATATATACTTCTCATTAATACATCCTCACAATATAATAAATATAATAAATATAATAAATATAATAAATATAATAAATATAATTTACAACGGTATTCTATAATGTCCCCACGGCAAGGTGTCGGTCGACTCAGGTACAACATACCGTTTGTCATCGTAGGGACTTAGAGCAATTTTTGTCTCGCTGATGGTATACACTTTATGCAATTTCGATCTTATGCATGACTGCTGACGCGTCATTTCAATTTCGTCATTAAGACAACGCGTATAATCGTCGAATGTTATACTACGCGCTACGACGTTACTTTTGACACCTTTTGCCTTTTTAGTGTCCTTTTTACCGTCCACCCGCAAAGCATACATTTTTGCTCTAAGCCCGACGAATTCGGTCATTATCGCGCCGTTATTCTCATCTTTCATCAGACCCGGCACCTTTTTATTCGCGAGCGGTATATCGTACGCATTATTCGCGGCGTAGTCGCTGGTATCGAATCGAGCGATATCGCGTTTCAAATTTTCATAGACATCTTGACATTTAATTTGATAAATTAAACTGTCCGTGTCGGTGTACATTACTCTACAATTGTCACGATAGAGCGGTGACATGTATTCGTGGTGAAATTCATAAAGACATACTTTTAATATGTCGAGTATGCACATGCCGACGTAGATTGGTTTGTAGATTTTAACTTCGAGTTTGCGTAATTCAATTGCAACTAATTTTTCCGAAAATATGCTAGTACTGTGGGATGGAGCACGGTTTTCTGTCCGCTCCACCCGTTATATTGTTTTGCGAGGGTTTTGATGGACCTTGGCGATGCCCGTGAAAACTCGGGCGTGTTGACGCGATCGCGAGCGACGAGTTAGTCGGGAAAAGACCGTGCGAGCGAACACATGTAAAAGATCGTGACGAATGCCGTCGAGGCCACATATATATATATACATATATACCCATTCCTTCTAAATTCTGTATTCGCGTAAATCCCAATAAAATATCTATATTACATTTTATTTGTGGAAAAACAACCATTTCTGGATTTTCCATCGAACCTAGTCAATTCATATCCCACAAGTAAATTTTTGGGGGCTCGTCCGGGATTACGCATCGGATGGAAGGAGGCGGGTTTGAAGGTGGTGTAATGATGAGCGACGGCGGAACCGCACGGAACGATGGAGCAAGAGACGTTGTGCAGGCGGACGCTATGACGATTGTCCAGCTTAGAAACGAGTTAAGACGACGAAAATTGAGGACGACAGGCAACAAGGCTGATCTGGTGGAGCGGTTTCGGGCGGCGGTGTTTCTCGAGGGTCAGGAAGACGGAGACGAGAGTAGCGACGACGGTGGTGTGCGCGGTCAGGTGGATTGCGAGTCTGGTGATGAGTCGGAGCTCAGTGATGCGTCGGAGGATGGCCGGAGGCAAGGGCCGTCGCAGGAGCCGTTACGGAAACGTGAGAGGTGTTTATTGACATTTAAAGACGTTGAAGATGCTATCGATACATTTAGCGGTGATGATGGCAAGAACGTTAAGCAGTGGATCAGAGATTTTGACGAAACAGCAAGCCTGTGTCAGTGGAACGACGTGCAAAAGACGATATATGTAAGGAGACTTTTGCGTGGATCAGCGAAGCTATTCGTAAAGTATGAAGCACGAGGGAAGACGTGGAAGGACATCAGAACTGCCTTGAAGCGCGAGTTTTCCCAGAAGACCAATAGCCACGATGTACATTTTCAATTACAAAGGAGGAAGAAGAAAACGGATGAGACGTATCACGAATACTGCTATCAGATGTTGGAAATCGCCTCCAGGGCGAAATTGGAAATCAGCGCGGTAATACAATATATAATAGATGGTATAGCGGACGATGAGGTAAATAAAATTGTTTTGTACGGCGCGAGAAGTATTTCGGACTTGAAACATAAATTAGATATATACGAAATAATGAAAATTAGATCTAGGCATTCCAAGACGGAGGATCGGAAAAGGAAATTTATACGCGCGGAAAACGATAGTAAGCAAATTGATAAACGGTGTTACATTTGCGGCAATAAAAATCATTTGATCGCGGAATGCCCGGTGAAGGGAAAAGGCGTTAAATGTTTTCGATGCGGCACACACGGACATGTTGCTGCTAAATGTCCTACGGTAGAGAACAAACAGACGAATAAAGAAAAAAACTGTAACGCGACGCAGGGTGAGACAAAAAGTTGTTGTAAAACCGTTGCGATAAACTCGGTCGAGTTATCGGCTTTAATCGACACCGGGAGTGACATCAGTCTGATGCGCGCGGATTCTTATGTTAAAATCGGAGCGCCGGCGTTAATTAAGAGGCAAATGAAATTTCGCGGTGTTGGCTCAGATGAAAATGTAACATTAGGTGAAGTATATGTTAGCGTTTGTGTGGACGGATGTTTTTTCGGCGTAACGTTTCACGTGGTCCCTGATGCGCTGTTGCAGCACGCGATTCTTATCGGAACAGATTTTTTAAATAATGTCGAGTTGCAAGTAAAAGAAGGTGTCGTTAAAATTTCAAAAACTGCTGAAGCATTTTCCGAATTGCCTGCTGTAAACAGGATCGACCTTGGCGATGAAGTAAACGATGTAAACATAGAGCACATTATGGATCGAGAGTGTAAAGACGAAATAAGAGAAATAATATCGAGTTATAAACCCGAGAAAATTCGAGACGTAGGTATCGAGCTAAACATTGTGCTGAAGGACGAGACTCCTGTATACCAGCGTGCTCGTAGGCTGGCTGTACCCGAACAAAGGACGCTTGACGAACAAATACACAGATGGTTAGACGAGGGCATTGTTCAACAATCGTATTCTGATTATGCCAGCCCGGTCGTGCTGGTTAAGAAAAAAAATGGTGCTACGAGAGTATGCGTTGATTATCGGAAACTTAATGAGAAAATAATAAAAACGCGGTATCCTTTACCAATTATAGAGGACCAGATTGATCGTTTGCGAGGAGCTAAAATTTTTAGTACAATAGACCTCGAGAATGGTTTTTTTCATGTTCGCGTGGCGGATGATAGTCGCAAATATACGGCATTTATAGTTCCAAACGGTCACTACGAGTTCTTGCGCATGCCTTTCGGTTTAAGTACGTCGCCAGCATATTTTCAAAAATACGTCAACGCAGTATTTGCTGACTTAGTGGCGAAAAATGTCGTGTCAATATATATGGATGATGTAGTGTATAGATACGCTACTGAGCGAGAAGCGTAAGGCGCACGCGTAGAGGTACACGCGGCAGAAGTAAGCTAGCATGGCTACGAGACGGACACGCGCAAAAGCATATAACTCTCTCTGTATTATATCGTGTAAGAGTAAGCAATAAAGACGTACATATACCTATATAAAAGGATACTACATTTGGCGACGAGGATAAGTCAAAAAAAAAAAAAAAAAAAAGGAGAAGAGAGTTGAGACAAAGAGGATTAAGTCTAAGAAGAACATGGAAACGACAAATCTGCCGACATTCGACCCGAACACAGAAACGGGAAACGTATACCAAAGATGGACACGTTGGTTGAGGGCGTTCAAGCTGTTCCTGGTGAGCAAAAGAATAGAAGACGACGAGAGAAAGAAAGCAATGCTGCTACATTATGCAGGATTCGATGTACAAGACATTTTCTACGCGATACCGGATGCGGAAGTGGTTGTGGAAGGAGAATCGCAATACACCAAAGCCGTGCAAGTATTGGAAGAGTACTTCAAACCGAGAATGAATACGACTTATGAGAGACACATTTTCAGAAATCTGTCTCAAGGTACCGGGGAAACGATGGTACAATATGTTTCAAGATTGCGACAGCAAGCGAAGAACTGCAATTTTGAGGACGCAGATACAGAAATCTGTGGTCAAGTGATCGAAAAGTGCCATTCAACAAAATTACGCAGACGTTTATTAGAAAAATGCGAGGTTAAACTGAACGAAGTACTGGAGATTGCAAAAACAATGGAAGCCGTCTCGCTGCAGACGAAGGACATAGAAGGTGAAGCGGTGGCTCGCATAACAGACAGAAAAAAACAGGTGAAGACGGGAGTGACGAAGACAACAAATAGCGTCGAATGTTATCGGTGCGGATATAAAGGACACAAATATACAAACGAGAAATGCCCAGCGAGAGAGAAGACCTGCAGTAAATGTGGAAAACAAGGACATTTCGCGAGGGTTTGCAAGACAAGGATGGAGACAACTGACAACAACTACAAAAAAACGGACAGAAAAAAAGGGTTCGACGGCTCGACGAGAGGACAGAAGAAGAAGAAGAAGGAAGGGAGCACGCGTTTGGCCTGAGGAGAGAAGAAATCCACGCCGTGGAGGGTAAATGTATCGACGCGGCGGTGGGAGGGGTCAATTTAAATCTATTAATAGACTCAGGCGCGTCGTGTAATATAATTGACGAAGAAACATGGAGATGGTGTAAATCGCGGAATATTAAATGTAAATCGGAAAAAGCGGGCGATAAAAAGATATACGCATACGGACAAGAAAAAGCTTTAAAATTGATAGGGGAATTTCATTGCGAGGTTGAGGTGGAAAATAAGAAAACTCGAGCGACATTCTTAGTTTTAAAAGGTAACGGAAGAGCGCTGTTAGGTTTTGAAACGGCTACTAAGCTAGGAGTTTTGCGGATAGGACCGGAAATACGTAATATTAATAATTTTGAAAGTGAACAAGATTCAATTTTTAGAGGCATGGGTAAATTAAAAGATTTCCAATTAACATTACCAATTAATAAGACATACACACCTATTGCACAGCCGGTTAGAAGGATTCCATTTAAATTGCGCGAGAAAGTGGAAAGACAAATAGAAGCACTGATAGCTCAGGATATAATAGAAAGAGTTGAAGGCCCTACAGAATGGGTCTCCCCAGTAGTTCCCATAGTAAAGAAAAACGGTGAGATAAGGTTGTGTGTGGACATGCGACGGGCGAACGAAGCAATTATCCGGGAACGATATCCGTTACCTGTATTTGAAGACATTTTAGACGTAATTAAAGGCAATAACTTGTTCACGACGCTAGACGTTAAAAAGGCATACCACCAAATAGAACTAGAAGAAGAATCAAGGAAAATTACTACATTTGTAACAGATTCAGGGCTATATAGATATAAAAGATTAATGTTCGGAATAAGCTGCGCTCCAGAAATTTTTCAGAGAATTGTTAAATCAATATTAAGAGATTGTAAAGGAACAATAAACTTTATGGATGATATAATCGTTTGTGGAAAGACACAGGAAGAACATGATAGAAGATTAAGAAAAGTTTTAGAAACGCTAAAGGAGAAAGGAATAACTTTAAATAAAAGTAAATGTGTGTTTAGACAAAAGGAGATAAAATTTATGGGATTTAAAATTTCGGGAAATGGATATCAACCGTTAGAATCTAAAGTAGAAGCAGTAGAAAAGTTTAGAATACCTAAAACAGCGGAGGAAATACGTAGTTTTCTAGGACTAGTAAATTTCTGTGCGGCATTCATTCCTAATTTAGCAACAATAAGTGAGCCTCTAAGAAGATTAACAAGAAAAGGAGTAAGATTTGTATGGGAAAAAGAACAAGAAAGAGCATTTAAAATTTTAAAAAGGGGTTTAACAAGTGCGCAAACGTTGGGAATTTTTGATGTAAATGCGAAAACAAGGATAATAGCGGATGCAAGCCCAGTAGGTTTAGGGTGCGTAGTAACCCAACAAGATGACAGAAATCAATGGCGGGTAATTAGCTACGCGAGTAGAAGTTTGTCGGATTGCGAAAAACGATATTCTCAAACGGAAAAAGAAGCGTTAGCATTAGTATTCGCATGTGAAAGATTTTATAACTGGTTGTATGGAATAGAATTTGAATTAGTGACAGACCACAAAGCGTTAGAATATATATTTGCACCGCGAGCAAAACCGAACGCGAGGATAGAAAGATGGGTTTTAAGGTTGTTACCATTTAAATATAAGGTTATATATGAAAAAGGAAAATCTAATATAGCAGATATACTGTCAAGACTCTGTGGAAATGAGAACCGAAAAAAAGAATTTGAAGAGGACATCCAGTACATTCAATGGATAGCAACGGAATCGGTACCAAAAGCAATGTCATTAAAAGAAATCGCGATAGCATCGAAAGAGGATAAAAAGATTAGGGAAGTAAAATTAGCGTTACAGACAGAAGATTGGAAGGCACTGAAAAATTCGCGGTATAAAATAATAAAAGAGGAATTATGTATTTACAACAATGTATTATTAAGAAATACACGCATAGTTATACCCGAAACGTTGCGGAGAAAAACGTTACGTTAGCAGAAGGACACCCAGGAATTGTCGCGATGAAACAACGGTTACAAAGTAAAGTTTGGTGGGAAGGCATTGATAAAGACGCTGAGAAATTTGTTAAATCGTGTAAAGGCTGTCAGTTAGTACAGCGTCCGATGGAACCACCACCAGTTAAACGGAATCAGTTACCGGAAAAAGCATGGGAAACAATTGCGATAGATTTAATGGGTCCCTTCCCGACAGGAGAACATTTGTTAGTAACTACCGATTATTATAGCCGATACATAGAAGTAGCAATTTTAAAAAATATATCGGCGAAAGTAATACAAGGAGAATTATTCGAATTGTTTGCGAGACACGGATTACCAAAGATAATCGTGTGCGATAATGGTCGCCAATTTACAGACGACAAATTAAAAGAATGGCTAAGTTCTTGCGGAGTAAAAGTCACACACGTAGCACCATATTGGCCGCAAGCGAACGGGGAAGTTGAAAGGCAGAATAAAAGTATCTTAAAAAGACTAAAAATAGCGCATGCGGAGAGAAAAAATTGGCGTAACGAACTATTAACATTTTTATTGATGTATCGGTCAACACCACACACAGTTACAGGAATATCCCCCGCAGAACTATTGTTTAAAAGAAAGCTAAGAACGAAAATTCCGGAAATTAACGATAAGAGTGAATTTGTAGAAGCAGAAATTAGAGAACGCGATAGTTGGTTAAAAGAAAAAGGAAAACAATATTATGACAAAGTAAATAGAGCCAAAGAATGTGATTTAGGTCAAGGAGATCGTGTATTAGTTAGGGCACCAAAGGAAAATAAACTAAGTCCAAATTTTAGTCCGGAAGAATATAAAGTAATAGAACGAAAAGGAAATTCAGTAACACTACAGTCAGGGGAAGGAAAAAAGTATAAAAGAAACTTAACACAAGTAAGAAAAGTCATAGATTTAGAAAGCGAGGAATCAGAAAGCGAGAAAGGAGTGGTGGAGGATAAAGAAAGGAAAGAATAGAAAGGGATCAGGAAAGAACAGAAAGCGATGAATCAGAAAGCGTAAGAAGATCACAGCGCGAAAGAAAACAGCCGGAGCGTTATGGCAATTATAGGGCATACTCCATAGATGATAATTAGATGTAAGAAACATATACTGTAAGCGGTTAGCATTTTAAGGAAGAGAAGAGATGTAGTGTATAGATACGCTACTGAGCGAGAAGCGTAAGGCGCACGCGTAGAGGTACACGCGGCAGAAGTAAGCTAGCATGGCTACGAGACGGACACGCGCAAAAGCATATAACTCTCTCTGTATTATATCGTGTAAGAGTAAGCAATAAAGACGTACATATACCTATATAAAAGGATACTACAGATGACTTGATTATTCCATCAAAAAATTGTCAAGAAGGGTTATTACACTTAAAAGAAGTATTGCAAGTAGCAAGTTCGTACGGATTAAGGATAAATTGGAAGAAATGCCAGTTTTTGAAAACTAGAGTAAATTATCTAGGATTTATTATAGAGGACGGAGACGTTACACCTTCCGACGAAAAAACTAACGCGGTAAAATATTTTCCCATACCGAACGATAGAAGAGCGGTGCAAAGCTTTTTAGGGTTGACTGGCTATTTCCGAAGGTTTATCCCGAAATATGCATCTGTTGCACATCCTCTGACCGAATTGTTAAAGGAGGGAGTTAAATTTTTTTTTGGTGACAAAGAAACGCGCGCGTTCGATCAGTTGAAGGAGGCTTTGGCGAGAAGACCTATTTTACGAATCTATTGCCCAAACGCGGAAACGGAGCTGCACACGGACGCCTCGTCACAAGGTTATTGGGGCTATTAAGGGGCTATTTTACTACAAAGAGATAGCGAAGATCGTCTTTTTCATCCGGTGTACTACGCAAGTGGCAAGACCACCGATAGCGAAGCAAAATTTCATAGCTACGAGTTGGAAGTTTTAGCAATTATTAAGGCGTTGCGAAAATTTAGAATTTATTTGATAGGTATACCGTTTAAAATTGTAACAGATTGTCAGGCGTTCGCGCAAACAATGAAGAAGACGGACGTCTGCACGCGGATTGCACGATGGGCTTTGTTCCTGCAGGATTTTCAATATGTTGTCGAACATCGGCCCGGAAAGAGTATGCGACATGTCGATGCGCTCAGTCGAAATGCATTGCCAACTGCAATGCTCATAACGGAATGTCAGGAGGGCATCATTGCAAGGCTGCAAAAAAATCAAGCAGAAGATGAGGAGTTGGTAGGCATCCGAGACCAAGCAATAAGTAACCAAGCGGAGGGATACGTTATTAAAAATGGACTTTTACACAAGAAATTGAACGGAGATACGCTAATTGTAGTTCCAAAGCTAATGCAAAACAATATTATACGACAAGCTCACGAGCGTGGCCATTTCGGTCCAGACAAAACGGAGAAGCTGCTAAAGATGAATTATTGGTTCAAGGGAATGCGTAGTAAGATCGAAAAGATTGTCCGAAATTGTATTAGCTGTATTCTGGCTGAGAGAAAATCTGGAAAACAAGAAGGCTGCTTACATCCTATCCCAAAAGGTGAAAGTCCGCTAGATACGTATCACGTGGATCATTTGGGTCCCCTGCCGTCTACACAAAAGAAGTATCGTCATTTATTCGTAGTAATCGATGCTTTTACAAAATTTGTCTAGTTATACCCCACGAAATCTACAAGCGCAGCCGAAGTATTAGACAGATTGACGCAACAGAGCGCTGTTTTCGGAAATCCGAGAAGGATCATTTCTGATCGAGGAACGGCTTTCACTGCGAATGACTTCGAAACTTATTGTAAAGACGAAAATATTGAGCATATCACTGTCGTTACCGGAGTCCCACGAGGAAACGGGCAAGTTGAGCGGATTAACCGTATTTTGATTCCAATGTTGACAAAGTTGTCAGCACCGAATCCTGCTCAATGGCATAAATATGTAATGAGAACTCAGCGATATCTAAATAGCGTACCTTCGAGAAGCACAGGCGCATCGCCATTTTATCTTTT